TGAAATTCAAAATTTAACTTTAAAAAATAGCATTCTTCGTGCATATTTAGATACAAAAGTAATCACCAAGTTTTTTTATGTCAATTTCTTCCAAAATTTCATTTTCAATCATAATAAAACTACATGAGCTTTAGAAACATCATTCCCAATTTAAAAAATAATGGATTATATTTATATAATTGAAGGCCCTGTTTCGTCGCCCTGGAGAAAACGATCTAGCCACATTAGAATTAAGAGTGCGGCACAAGAAAACGAAGAGGAGTTATGTGTCCAAAAAAATTGGGTCAATTTTTTTTTTTTTTTTTTTTTTTGAAAACATAAATTGGGTCAAATGAAGACAAACCATTAAAATTGAATTTAATCAATTGGCTAATTGAACTCATACCTTTATGAGCTCATCTTTTATGGAATACTCTTCAACATTAACAATGGACTTAATGCATACATAAATGTACTTAATTTTGATTAAAAATTAATTTAATAAAACTATAAAGTCTACTTAATTATATTAGTTATAAACTTATGTGCATATTAGTGATATCATATAATCTATTTGTCAATAGGAGTTGAGCAGAAAAGTTTTCATCCGTTATCTAATTTGCTTCTTTCACAAGTATACTAAAAGCTAAATAATTAATCATAATGTATGTGAAGGATGACAGTCAACACTCGAACATTTCTTGTTTGGTTGCCCTTGGTGAGGATAATGTATAATACAATTCCCACCAAATCACTTTTATTTACCACTTAGAATGAATGAATATATATATATATATAGTCGAGTTCAGGTGCGGCAACACCAATAGATATATAAATATACACCATCAACGTTAAGAAATGCACTACAAAAATACACACAAATTAGGTACAAATCACCAAAAACACATCATTAGGTATGACTAAAAGCACCACACAGGTTTTCAAAAAAAAAAAAAAAAAAAAAAAAAAACAGTACACCATTAGTGGTAGGGAGTTATATGGTGTATTTTTTTTGGATGTGTTGTGTATTTTTTTTTTTGCGTATTTTTGTATTTCATTGTTGTGTGTTTCTCTTACACTATTGGTGCACATTTTTAATACTATTGGTGTATTCTGAAAACCACTGCATGGGAGGGTGTCGCCTCATTTGAACTTTTTTTCTATGTGTGTGTGAGAGAGAGAGAAGTATTAATTGAAAGAATTTCAGACAAATTGAGTACCCGACTCTATACATTTTAAGGCAACATTTGTGAGTTGTGTAAGAAATTGGCCGGGGATGGGTTAGTTGGACGTTGGACTGTCAATTTTAAGTTCTACAAATCGTTAGCATTAACATATCACATATATATATATATATATATATATATATATATATATATATATATATATATATATATATATGCACATGAAACCAGTGTCTAGTGTACATGTTGGAAGATGTAACTATTCATTTGACTTTTTTAAGGATAAGTTAGAATGCTGAATTATAGTACAACTAACTGTTTTTTGTATGTGTTTGGTGACTTTCTTCCCATTCAATTTCTTTTTCCCCGAAATTCAATGACCATATAATTTGTAACACTAGCCTGGTCCATACAAATTTTTGGGATTACGTATTTGTTGGAAATACATTCAAACCAGAAGTTTGGTTTTGTTTCCCATGAAAGGAAATTTCAATTTTTGTCCTATAACTATAGTGGTCTTGTTAATTTCAATCTTCGATATTTAAAAGTGTCAATTTAGTACCTTGACTAAGTAATTTTTATCAATTTTAATCATTCTGGTCAAATTGTCGGCCAAATTTCGTCGAAAAATTTTAATAGGTAAAATAATGAGGGTATTTGAGTCATTTTACCCTTTTTCCTTTCTTCTCCGACAAGGTGTTTCCGACTTTCCGGCTAAATCTTTTCATTCTTTCTTCTCAATCTCAAGCAGAGTAGAGCTCTGGCATTGGTGGCCAGCATTTCCGGCCAAAGAGAGGGATTAACAAGACCGCCGTGAGGATGGCGGCCATGGTGAGGACGGCATCTCTTTCTTCTCCGACGAGTGGAATAGCATTGACCGGCCGCACGGAATCCGCCGAACACCTCCGTGGTTTCCAAGTGGTCCTTGGAGTGCGCCGGGGCTAATATCACCGACCTGCCGACCACCTCGTACATCCTCGGTTGCCTGGTCAGCGGACTCACGCTCTCCACGTTCGCCGACACCTCCATTGGCCGGAAGAAAATGCTAGAATGGTTGTAGAACCTTCGATTTAGTCCTCCACGATGGTTTCCCCAACGTCGGTGGTGCCTGGTCTAAGGAGGCTACCAGTCAAAATGCTTTGGTCATTGATTCCGTTAAGCTCACAGCAAAATTGCTGTCCCCTAAAAGGACTTTTAATTTGTTACCATGGTGCTGGAATTTTTAACTTTGGAATTAATTTATTTTTTAAAACTTTTAAAAGTGGGGTTTAGATTTGTTTTGGTTTTAAAAGTGGCCTTGAGCCGCTTCGCCTGAACTTTCGAAGTCGGGAGAACTCGCCAGAAACAACTGAAACATGGTAGACTCGCCGGATAAGAAGAAAAGAGATGTGAAATAACTAAAATACCATCATTATTTTAACTATTAAAATTTTTCGGCGAAATTTGACCGGAGTGACCCAAATTGACAAAAATTACATAATTAAGGTACTAAATTGACACTTTTAAAAATCATGAACTGAAATTAACAAGATCCCTATCGTCATAGGACCAAAATTGAAATTTCGTCTTCCCATTATCTCTATATGCCTATTTCTTAGAATTTAGTTAAGCAAATGAAGGAAGCATGGACACGTGTAGCTCTCTCCACTATTCCATCCCTAATCTTGTGTTAATACATGGTTGAGATTAAAGCTTTATTGCTTTCTTCACTATATAAGCAACTTCCTACATAGTGAATCAATGCAACAGTTTTCTACATGGTCTTTTTCACTTCTGTTCATTTTATTTCTCCGAGTCTGAGCAATAGTCAGGTTTGTATACGTTTAAGCTATGTTTAAGTTGGTGCAAGCTTAGCATGGTTATTTTGTGTTGCCTGTTGGAAGTGTACCCGTTTATGTTGAATACACCGTCGGAAGTGTACCCGTTTATGTTGACTACACCGTCACCGGGCAAATAAGACTTTTAAGAAAATGTTATATAACACGGCACAGACTCCTTTACAGTCTACACCCGTATTTGTTCTTGTTTCCTGAAAAGGTTGTCAGCCCCCGCGTTGACGTCGCTTATATTTTCCAACATTATTTTGATTGAATCCATGATTCCACAACAAAAGTATAGTAGTAATTTCTAATATACAATATACATCCTTTAATTTCTAATTGGTGAATAATATAATTGGGTGTATGTGACTCAATTTTGATGGATGCAATCTACTAGTATTGTTAAACCGGATTGGCAAAATGGGACTGGCCAAATCCCGACAAACATGAGTGATAGGCTTAGGTTTTTTTTTTTTTTTTAATGTAGTCCAGATTTTTAACTTGTCTGACACAGTGATTAATTCTCTTTTTGAAGTGTAGGTATTTTTATTGGGTGAAATAGTCCCCATTTGCTATTGTTAGTAGCTTATAAGTCGATGTTTCCTTACATAAAGGAATCAAATAATCATGCAATTGATGAGAAAATATGAAAACCAATAAAGTGACTAAATCAAGCTAATTAGTAAATTGAACTCGTACTATCTATCTTTTTCTAATTCTTCAATGTCGGACACAATTTAACAGATTTAATACTACTACTACTACTACTACTACTAATAATAATAATAATAATAATTGCAAGGTAACCTTTAATTGTTTAGTAATAATATTTTTAACCGATTTTTAGTAAAGTCCTAAATCAATTAAACCGGTTAAAACTAGAAAATAACAAAAAAAAATATAAAGAGACACAAATGCCTTTACTAAAAATAGAAAAAGTCTTGAGAAAGACTACAAGTGTCCAAAAAATAATAGCCTAGGATGTTAAATGGAAAAAACACTAATCTGAGACTAAATTCAGAATTTCCACCAAAAACAATGGACCTTTGGTGGAATTAACTCATATATTCATAATAATTATGAACAGTTTTGGAACCTTGTCCACCTTGCAAGGTGGACACGGTTCCACAACATAATTTGCCCTAGGGATGTCAATTGGGCCAGGCTACTAGATTTTGGGTTAGCCACTTATTGGTTTGGGCTAAATGAGTTTTGTTTTTGTTTTTGAGTTTGGTTGGCCTTAATCCTAAATGGTGGGTCCGAACCAATTACGTGTACAAATAAAAGCTTGTACATACTATTTTTCGGAGAAGCCTATTTCTATATTTGTTCAAAATATGAGCTCCAATGCTAAAGGCAGTTGTAATAAGAACAGAAAGCACATCACCATTTTATATAACGATGTTCTTTTTCTTTCCAAATTCCAATACAAGAGCAAACTATATCATCCAATTGTTTTTTTTTTTTTTGAAAACATCATCCAATTGATTTAATTGCTCATCTTTCAAGTATTTGGCTAAATTAGACTTTATGTCTCGACTACCACTTTCACCTTTGCTTCGTTAATCAATATAATCCTACATAATTTAAACATTTACACATCTTAACCCACTATTGGAAATCATCGTTTTGCCGACCACCCAAAAGTGGTAAGAAATCGCCAACATCCAGTAAAAAATCCATGTTCTGACCACTTTAACAATCCGCAAAAACCTTCATCAGTATTTGATGTGTTTTAATTTTTCATCCATATCCAACAATATTTATAGCTATGTTTGTAAGTGCTTCATTTTTATTTTTCAAACTATCTCTTTTCTTTTGAATATGTCCATGCACAAAAGTATTAAGTATTTGACATTTTTAATATTTCGAACTTTTAAATGGTTTGCCTGTAGGGTTCAAACAAAGCATACATTACTTTTTTTTTTTTTTTTTTAATTTTTTTTTTAATTTTTTTTTTTTTTTTTTTTTTTGCATACAAAGCATACATGACTTATTTGCTAGCAACCTCCATAAGCTAATCAAACTAATCAAAGAACGTAAAAGATGAAAAAAGAATTGTAAAAATCCCCCATTTAAAGAAAATGGACAATTATAAACGAATTTGCTATATATGCATTTACTTGCACATATTAACTTGCCTAAAATAGCCGTATATTAACTTTCGAAATTTAACCAGTCGCGGTCCTCCTACAAGGACCATGTGTGGTTAACTTGAATCACATATGGTAAAAATTTGAAATTTGAAATTTTAGGAATAAACATGACAAAACCACTATATTATCCTACATGGCATTAACTCTAGAAAATTAAGGGTGTGTTTGGTTGACAGGTTTAGCTATCATGAAAGAGTATCAAAGTCATTGTTTTTTGAAAGTCAAGCATTGGGTTGTATTTATAGATGAATCATAATAGAGTCAGGAGGGACATTGTCCCAGTACATAGGTAATGTATAGCTAAAAGCAGCTGCTGCTAACGTATGAGCTAAAATATTATGCGATCTAGAAATAAAATTAACCGAACAATAATCAAACATATTTAAATAGGTCCTGCAGTCATCCAGGACGTAACCAAGGTATGATCTTGTCTGAATAGTAGGTGACGTCAAATAAGTGAGTAGTGTCTGACAATCCGTGTAGAGGTTAACTGATTGCTCCCCCAAGTCCTTGAGCCACGATAACACTTCCTTGCATGCCAGAGCCTCGGCCATAAGTGGTGAAAAGCAATTTTGCGGCGGTGCACAAAAAGCTGATATATAGTTGCCAATGTGGGTGAACAGTACCGCTCCAACAGTGGTCGTCATGGACGACGGTTGGTAGCCGGCATCGATGTAACATTGCCTTGCCTGGGGTGGGAGATCCGCGGCAGGTGGTTGCACCGTAGTGGGGTGGGGTTGCTGCTGCGCTAATCCGGGCGAACTGGGCAGTAACATGGTTTGGGGCGGCACAGTGGGATGGTGGCCACTTAGTTCGGCAGTCACGGGCTTCATATGGGCAGTAATATGCAGTTGTTGCCACGTTTTTACAGCTGCTAAAGCCGTGGCTACAACCCTCTTCGGCATTGATAGATAAGCATTCCACACCGCTTCGTTCCGGGCCCTCCAAATATTGTATAGAATTGCAGTTGCAAACAATATTGCATCAGAATCTAGAACATCTAATAATGTTCCAAACCAATCATAAAAAACATTTGTCACAATTTGGGGGATTGGAAGGTTAGATTGGCTCCATATGGCTTTTGCATAGTCACACAACACTAATGAGTGCATTATATCTTCATGTATTAGTCCACACATGGCGCATGCCGGATCAATTTCCACCCTCTTTATAAGCAAATTAGTAGTAGTGGGTAATATATTGCTCATTGCTCTCCATAGGAACATTTTCCATTTTGGTGGTATTTTGAGGTGCCATAGGGTATTCCATCTATCAAAACCCATGCTAGTATTATAGGTGCCCACTATACGTCTGTATCCATTCTTGACGGAGTAGCATCCATTTGGATCTCCATACCAGTACCAAGTGTCCTCATATTCCGGGGAGATGGGGATCTTTAAAATTCTAGGCACATCACTTGGTTGAAAAATATCAGCTAAAATGTGAGGATCCCACGTTCCAGTTGTTTGATCAATCAATCCTGCAACCTTAGCATCTGCTAACTGTAATGGCATCTCAGTCTGGACCATAGGATCCAACTCATCCTGGAGCCATGGATCTTTCCATATTAAAGTCGATTCACCATTCCCAATCCGTCGTCGCACCCCACCGGTAATTAATTCTTTTGCAGCCATAATACTCCTCCAACAGTAGCTAGGATTATTCCCCATACTTGCCTCTGAAAAAGTTAGTTTAGGGTAATACCTAGCTTTATACACACGGGATACCAATGAGTCAGTATTTGTTAGGAACCGCCAAGCCTGCTTCCCCAACATAGCCAAATTAAATGCCTTCAGATCCTTGAAACCTAAGCCACCATATTTCTTGGGTATACACAATCTATCCCATGCCTTCCAATGAATACCCCGGTCAGTTCCTGTTCCCCACCAATATCGGTTCATTACTCGCTCAATAGCTGCACAGACAGATATTGGTAATAGGAAAACACTCATTGAAAAGGTAGGCATTGCCTGAGCTACACTTTTCAATATTATTTCCTTACCTGCCTGCGTTAAAAGTCTCTTATTCCACGAGCCAATTCTTTGCCTGATCTTATCCTCAATATATGCAAAAGCTGCCTTTTTATTTCTTCCTATAAAAGCCGGTAGACCCAGATATTTTCCCAAATTCGGAGCTTGGACAACACCCAGGATCTGTGCCGCCATCTCCCTGTCCCTAGTACCAGTATTCTTACTATAGAAAATACTAGACTTATGGTAGTTTACCATCTGTCCTGAGAGAGCTTCATACTTGGCCAAACAATTTTTAATCTCGACTGCCTCATACTGATTAGCTTTAAAAAACAAGAGACTATCATCTGCGAAAAATAAATGAGAAATCGGGGGTGCTCCCCGTGCCACTCTGCAGCCATGAATTAAACCATTATTCTGTGCTTGTTGGAGTAATAGGGAAAGCCATTCTGCACATATAATAAAAAGATATGGTGATAACGGATCCCCCTGCCTGAGCCCACGTGTAGGCGTGACCAGGTTACTAGGAGAGCCATTTATCAAGAATCTATACGACACTGTAGTCACGCATAACATAATTAGTTCCACCCATCTCTCATCAAAACCCAAAGCTTTTAACATCCCTTTTAGGAAAGGCCATTCCATCTGGTCATAAGCCTTTGCCATATCTAACTTTAAAGCTCCCCAACCAACCGTTCCACACTGTTTCCTGTTCAGAAAGTGTCCCACCTCTGCTGCTATCAGAATATTGTCAGTAATGAGTCTATCCGGTATAAATGCACTCTGTGTGCCAGATATAATACTATCCATTAAGGGCTTCATTCTTTGTGTAATCATTTTCGCCATTACCCTATAGACAACATTACTCAGGGCTATGGGTCGTAAGTCTGTTACCAGTTCAGGCATATCCTTCTTTGGTATTAACACAACATTCGTTTCATTTAACGCAGATGGAAAAACTCAAGTATTAAGGCATTGAACAATATAATTCGCAAGATCCCCACCTACCACATCCCAAAAATGCTAATAAAAGCCAGGATTCATTCCATCCGGGCCTGGTGCCTTATCAGGAAACATAGCAAAGAGAGCACTTCTCACCTCCTCTACCCTAAAGGGTTGTAGCAACTCATCATTATGCTCTTGTGTAACTTTCGGTACAACACTCTCAAATAAATCATGCCCATCCTCAGGATTACTAGAGCAAAAGATATTAGCAAAATAGTCCAAGATTACATCATTCATTGCCTCCCCTTCCACCCAATCCCTAGTATTATTCATAATTCTAGTTAGACAGTTTTTCTTTCTACGGTGAGAAGCATACCTGTGATAGAATCTTGTATTGGCATCCGCATTTTTCAACCAGTGCTGTTTTGCTCTTTGTTTCCAATATGCATCCTCTTGGGTCTCAACACGGCTCAACTCCTCCTCCAACCGCTGGAATTCAGTCAACGATTCTGAGTCCGTCAACCCTCTCAAACGTAACTGATCACTCCAGAGTTGCTTAATACGTTCACCAAACTTATGGTAGTGATCACCCCCCCCCCCCCCAACGAGATAATCGTTTTCCACAGTACGCAATGCATTCATGCAATCCATCATGCCTCTTCTCATTCCATGACTCCTCAACTACAGCCCTATAGCCTTCATCATAGACCCATGCCATCTCAAATCGAAACTGTTTTTGCCGTGGTCTCCCCCTCCCCACCGAGTCATGAATCCCCAGAAAGAGAAAAGAATGATCCGATTTTCTGGTCAGAATATTAGTCACTCTTGCCCCTGGGACACTATCACGCCAGGTATTCGTGGCCAATACTTTGTCCAATCTCTCTTCCATCCACCGATCTGTGCCCTTCCCTTTCTCCCATGTAAACTGATACCCCTCCATTGGTAGTTGAGTCATACCGCAATACTCAATAGCTTCCCCAAATCCCCGCAAAAGGTAATTAGGATGTGGATTACCTCCCCTCTTCTCGTGTTGGAATAAGAGATCATTAAAATCTCCTATCATAACCCATGGCAGATTTGACTGTGACTTTAATGATTTAATAAGATTCCATGCATCTCTTCTTCTACTCCGGTGTGGGTAACCATAAAAACAAGTCATTCGCCAGTTCGGGAAACCAGCTATGCTAATCTCCAAATCAATATAATTTCTCGAGTAACTTATCAGTCTTGCCGTATTATTTTTCCTCCATAGCAAAGCCAAACCACCACCCATTCTTACAGGATTGACATAAAATAACCCTTCAAACCCAAGCTTCACTCGTAATCTCTCTGCATTATCACGACCTACCTTAGTTTCCATCAGATAGACAAAATCGGGCTTCTTCCGGGACACCATGCCCTCTATTTCACGAACTGTACGTGGATTTCCCAAGCCACGATAGTTCCAGCTTAGTGTACTCATTGGGTTGGGCGGGTCTGTGAAACAAGACCCGCCGCATGCAAGTTTTTTGAACTCGTGTTGTCTGCCACTTCCCCACTCATCACCGTACCCACCCCCTCTACTGCAGTCTCCGCACGACGCCGTTTCGATGAGGCTACAATATCCTCATCCGAAACATGTTGCTGCTGCACCATCACTACGTCATCTTCCGCTTCTCCACCTTTGTTCTCTGCCACTTCGGGTGCTACTCCACCAACCGGTGGTAGCAACCACGATGCTCCCACCGGCCTCGGACCCCTGACTTTCCCCGCTCTCATCCACGGCCCATACGGATACGATTCAGGCATAATACCGGACACCCGAGCCTTCACACAAATTTTTTCAAGATGGCCTAATAGTCCACAACAAAAGCAGAAATTATGGAGGCGTTCGTACTTCAGATTCACCCATCCCCAAGACTTATCCCTGCGTATCAGTTTCATTCTCCGTTTGAGAGGTTTGTCCACCGACACACGGACACGGTAGAACGTTCTCCAGGGACCTCCCACATTACGATCATCACATCGAATGAACGTTCTCACAAAATTTCCAACCTGTTCCAATACAACATTCGATGTATATCCCATCGGCAAATCATAAACCTGCACCCACATGTCTACGGTATCCAGTTTGACCTCCCTCGGCAAGAAACCATCACAAACCTGACGACATACAAGAGTATGATTCTCAAACGACCACGGCCCCTCCTCCAATACCCGCTTCATGTCAGTGATATGATAGAAGGAAAATAAGAATAAATTAGATTGTAGTTCCGTGACTCGCATCCCCATAACAGGCATCCATGCCGAGGCCATTACTTGACGCATGTATTCAACCTTAATCAGTTTAGCCGTGAGGAAGCGTCCAACAACGGAGTAAACCTGCCCACCCTCAATCTCTACCGGTTGGTAGAGACCACCGGCCTCAACGCCATCCTCTTCATCCTGTAAGACCATGTCAGCCCACCGTTCGGCTATCCTTGTCACCCCCTCATCATGCTGCTGTTGTGACGCCGCTGCCATGGTAACGAACGGAATTTCACCGTCAAAGTCGAAGAACAAAGCCCCGGTGAGAACTGATCGGTACAACTTGTCGAAAGCTCACCGTCGAAGCCTTAGAACAAAGCCCTTACGCAAACTGTACGGTAATAACTATCGGATTCTCGCTGCCGAAGCCTTAGAACAAAGTTTCGATGAAAACTGTACGGTAAACCCTAGTTTGGGAGAGAAGGAGAGAAAACCCTAGTTTGGGAGAGAAGGAGAGTTTCTTCTGTATTATCAAAGTCATTGTTATTATTTAGTTGACAAGTTTTTAGAACAATACTATGGGGGTTTTGATCACCCCTTAATTGAAAAAACTCATTCCCTAATAAAATAAGAGTTTCATTCCATTATTCCTCCTCAACCTAATCATTCTCATTCCACCCTACTACTATACCAAACATGCAAAATACTTTCACCAAAACACATTACCATTACCAAATATTTGATACCCATTCTAATTCCGATTCCCAAACCAAACACACCCTAAATATTATCCTTATTTGCTCTCATTTGTCACCAAGTATAAAATTAATAATTTTCTATGAATAAAGCAACAATATGTGTTGTCTCAAATAAAATCTAAGCGTAAGTCCGTAACTTCACTCTGAAAAAAAAAATTAATATACCCAAAAACAAAAGAAAAAATAAATTAAAACAACAAAAGAAGAAATCAAAGCTGTGTTGACCATAGCATTATATTGTCAAGGTCTACTCAAGGTTTCTTGTAATCCCAATCCCTAATAGTTCATGACCTCATTCTGCTATTTTTGTCAAGGATGGGAAGATAAGAATGCATGGCCGGTAAGCTGTGTTGGAAATTTATCTTTCTTACCTCAATTACTTCATCCATTAATCGTCAATCTATCATCTAGAAGTAATTAAGCTTCAAAATTAAAAAGGAAAAAAATTTCTAAGGTATAAAACGTTTTTCAAGCATTCAAACGAAGTGTGCATTTCTATACACTCAATTAACAGTTCTTGGGCCAGTAAAGTTGGTTCATCGTTTGACTTAAAGGTCATGACTAGAGGTGGCAGTGTGATGTTCGAATACCACTGAAAATATATATGGAAAAAAGGTTAGGATTTGGCCGCGGTCCTAGCAAGTACGCATGTAAATGTACTTTTTATTTTTCCTCCTTTTTCCTTTTCTCTCCTCTTTTCTCTTTCCCCTCTTTCCTACTTGCAATCTTACATATATGGATGTGGTTGCTCTAGGTATATCTTGAGATAAAAGACAACCAACATATATAAAGGTCTTGTTGGGCAATCAGCGGTTAGCGGTAGCGGATTATGTTAGCGGTTAACAAATAGCGAATTATATTAGTGGGTTTAACTAGCAGATTGGTATCAGTGATGTGTAAAATGATGTTTGATAAAATTAGCTGTTTAGGTTAACGGTTAACATGTAAAATGACCAATAAGGACATTACAATAATAAAAAATGAATAAATAGAAACAACACAAAAATAATAATAATAAATAGAAACAATACAATAATAATAATAAAAATAATAACTAACAAAGAAATAATATATAATAATAATTTAAAAAAAAAAAAAAAAAAAAAAAAAAAAAAAGAGGAGACAAAGGGAAGCCTGCGTGCAGGCTCCCCTTTCGTCTAGGGATGTCAATTGTATCTGCACCCGACGGGGAACCCGATTCCCCGCCCCTACGGGGACGGGGATGGGGATAGAAATAGGGGATCGGGGATGGGGATGGGGGCAATTTTGAATTATCCGCCGGGGACGGGGACGGGGATGGGGAGTACTCTCCCCGCCCCGCCCCGTCCCCAATGTATGTATGTATGTATGGGGAGTACACACACATATGTATTACTTTGTATACAATATATATAATTTTAGAAGCATTCTTGTCATTGTTTGTCATGCTTATGAAATGCATATTTAAATAACATGTTTAATTGTAAAATATTGAATACTATTTTAAATTGGGGATGAATATATATATATATATATATATATATATATATATATATATATATATATATATATATATATATATATATATATATATACACGTTATTTATTTAAATATTTTTGAATATTTAATTTTTAATTTTTTTTTATAACTTATTAATGGGGTGGGGATTCCCCGTCCCCGAATAATCCCCGTGGGGATGGGGATGGGGGTAGTTTTCCATTCCCCGGCGGGGATGGGAACGGGGACGGGGACGGGGAATGAGAAAAAAGTCGGGGGCGGGGATGGGATGCATGTCCTCCGCCCCCACCCCGCCCCGTTGACATCCCTACTTTCGTTCAACATCGCCAAAAAACATAAGAGGGGCATTGAGGCTCCTCTATAAAGAGAAGCCTCAACGCCCCTTATTTGTTTTCTATACACATCCGACGTCCCACATC